CTTTGACCAAACGAGTCATTTGAAAATGTCATTATACATTTTTTTTTTTAGATAATTATTAAAAAAAATAAATGTAATAATTACAATGAGGAGTTTTCACTTGTTGCTAGACAAACGTATTAATTGAGAAAATGATCATTATATTTATTAATAATAAAATAAAATCATGCTGTTATGATAATATGGACATTAAATTACACAAAAGTACAAACCTGTCACAATATAGACCAGGACTGTCTAGTCCACGGCTTCTGGTTCAAGCTCAGCACAACGTGGACTGACTTGACTGAAAGTCAGTCTTTGTCTTTGTCTTGATAGTTAACGTAAGACGGGTTTTGGGCTGTTGTCGGATAAAATAAGAAACTTTATGACGTTTCGTTTGGCTCTGGGAACCCGTAAGGATCATAAGAATGTCTTCCTCTGCCTTTAGAGGACGCTGAAGGAGGATGGATATTTGTAATCTCAGGGCCTTGAATCCGGATATTCCTGTGAACGTCAGCACATGAACACGCAACGCGCTGAAATCCTTTTTCTGATTCCCTGCCAGGATTAATCTCGTCCTGCCAAAGCCGATCCACAATTCCCCCACTCGTGTCAGCCTAGTTTTATTTCCATGGGTGGAAATCTCCAGCAGCAGCAGCATTAGTGTGAGATCATCACTTAACCCAAAGAGACGTTTTGATTTCTCACTGCCGATGAGAGGAACAGGCAGAGCGACTGCAGTAATAATGAGCCGAGTGTCCCGGTGATGCTCTTTCATAGCGGTGAGGCGAAGGATGCTAAATTTAGCGGATAACGACAAGTTCTAGACACAATGCCTCAGGGTGCTGACGTGCTGACGAGGCGAATCCGTCAGAGAGCGAGCGTCCGAGGCCGGAGACTCTGCACTGCATCAGTTTAATCCCAGAGACGGAGGACGGGAAGCATTCATGGCTCCCTCTGTTGTTATGAGCTCTTTCTCCTTATTGTTAGCTGTGTAGCTGTAATGCATTTCACGTGTTATGGACGGTGAAGAAAGAAACATTCTTTTATTAGTCCCACAGTGGGGAAATTATTCTCTGCATTTGACCCATCCCTGTATATATAGGGAGCAGTGGGCTGCCAATGACAGGCGCCCTGGGAGCAGTTATTAGGGGTACAGTGTCTTGCTCAGGGACACTTCGACACAGGACACGGTGCAGCCGAGGATCGAACCGGTGACCTTTCGGTTGGCGGACAACCCTCTCTACCCAGTAAGCCATGGTGAAGCGTTTGGACAGTTTTTGAAATGAAACTATGACATTGAGGTTAAACTGAAATCCGGTGTGCTGGACTACAGATCTGAAACATTTGTACTGTACTGTTTCCTCTTTTGTGTCCCTGAGGTAGTTTGCATGTCTCTGGCCGTGGTTACTCCGTGAGACGTGGACAGCGTGTGCACACAATCCGGAGAAATAACAATTTAACTGGGGGGCTTTTATTTTGTAGAATTTTTAGGAAATGAAATGCATTTAATAGGTCCACAAGAGTAAGCGGCAAAAATAACAATAGACTTTTATTGTGAAGAATTCGTAGGAGATGAACTTTGTTTCTCCAACATTTTACAGCCGCTCTTTGACCGCAGAGCGGGACATGCTGGGAATCGAACCCGGGACGTTTCACGGCATCCTTTGAGCTAAATGCTGAATGTTCACCATCTTTGTTTCGTGTGCTAGCGGGCTAACTTCTGCTGATTGCTAACAAACAGAAAGCTGAGGCTGATGGGAATGTCATTAGATCTGCTGCTATAAACCAGAATGTTTCCCAAAATAAAAATGACAATTCTTCCTGAAGGGGACCATGACTCTGAACCAAAATTCATAGATCCGTCCTCATACAAAGGAATTCTTAGTCGACTAATCGATGAGTTTAATTAATCCACAGATTCAAGATGGAATATTCAGAGAAACCTTACAGTAACGTTTCAGCCGCCGTTTGAGATGAAATAAATTACTAAAATGAAATCTGTCTGCAGACTGCAATAAAAACCGTCAACAAGAAAAACTGTTTTTAAAAAGTCTTGAATTAAAAGACATGCATATTGTAAGGATGCAGAGTTTTTGTTTTTCATGTCGTAGAATGCTCGTGACTCGAGTTAAAGACGTGAAAGCCAGTTGAGGTGAATGCATTTTTAAAGAAGAACTTGGCAGCTGTAGATCTAGCTGATTGTGAAGTTCTGCACTATTTCTGTTTCGCACTCTTTTCTAAGTTGCTTGATGAAAGGCTAATACCATTTGTCAATAAGTGGGTTTTGGCCGAGGTCTCCAGCAGGATCAATAAGGAAGCGCTTTCTTTTGGGACTTTGGCATCAAGCGTCATGAGTTTCCTTTTTAAGCCGTCTTTCAAGTCCAACAAATTATCTGTGAAACGTTGTTTTGTGATCTGTTGAAATCGAATTCAGCCTTTGATTCAATCCAAAGTGTCTTTCCTTGAATACCTGACGATGTAAAACGTTTGCACCATTGACCGCTAGCGAGCTGATTCACGTTCGCTCCGTGAGTTGGTTGAACCTGCCGTCCTCGTCTGACTTTTTAATGTTTCCTGCTGACTCGAAGGAAAACGACACCGATGCTGAAGGAGCTTAAATATGCATTCGATGGTCACGCTAACTAACTATGTCATTCTGTTCTTATGCAATGACTTTCAGACGTTTACAGCAATAAGTTACTCAACACAAAAGCTAGATTTATACTTTTATTGTGCATATTTTAAAACAATGTTTCACTTTTAAATGAGACAATAATGAGGATGAGCTGACGAGTTTGCTGCTAACTGCATTAAATCTTATTTACTTGACGTCAATGCGTCTCCGGTCCATTGGTGAGTGGTAACCGCCCCAGAATCATCGTACCCGTTTCCCACTCACACAAGCAGCTGTGTGTGTTATAGTGAGATCCCCCATCGCTGCTCTGAGATTTAAAGTTTAACAGCTGTCTGTCAGACTCGTCTAAAGTCCGTAGAATTTCTATGAACATAGAACAATAAGCAGATATCTTGTGCTCTGGTGATTTATAAAATACCGTCTTTTTTATTGTTCCCCCCTCAAGACCGTGTTTCTTCACGCCTCTACTTTTATTTATTCACTCATCACTTCTCCATTATCCATGATTTTCAACTTCTGCTGCATCTGTTCTGAGAACACTTCATTTCTGAACTTTAACCTTTTTATTCTGGTTATTCTGAACCTTTTATTTGACTTTATTTCTAAGCTGATGGTGATTTCAAGAAACTGGAAACACTGATGTGAAACGTAGCACATTCTGTGGAAGTTCCACCTCAGCATGAATAATTGTGGCTTTAATAAACTAAATGTAACAGTGGCACAGATCTAGATCAGTAGAGGGGAATTAGTCAGAGCAGAGTTTAGTAGAAAGGAACTCTGTTTTGGATGGAAGCAGACAGAGCAGAGCAATCATCACAGAAACGACAACATCAGGCGATATTCAGCAGCTTTAAGCCTCTTTGTGTGCAGGGCGACACCAACCTGATGGACTTTGGCCTATTTCACCAAATGTGCAACATGCAAGCTGCATCACATTTCCTCTTTCTCATTTTGACACCTTTCAAAAAGAAACAAAATACTTGCGACTTGTGCAAGAGCACTGAAGGTTTCTAACCATCCTTCTCTGCTCCACAGACTCATTTATTTGTAAAACATGTCGAGCCACCAGTTGTGATCTATGACTTTTCTGTAACGGGCCCCACACTGTTTATTTTAGTTTGTTTCTCTATTTTGTGGCCATTTCTCTGGTGACATTTTCTTGCTGATGCAGCCAGTCAGCTAGTAGCTACGTAGGAAGATGATGTCCCCATATTGATCCTGCTTTGACTGGTAAAACCACATCATTCCTTGAATGTATGGTTTCGTGGTTTATGGGTCTATGATATGTTTTCTTTGACGGAAACGAACCCTCTTTGGATTTTGTGCTTTTTATCTCACAAGTAGCTTGCTTCCCGGACAGAGCGTTGATAAGCTTTCAAGCCACAAGTTCAGAGATTGTATCGGTCGGGAGGAGTTTGACCTCGTCTCAGTTATGACATGTCAACAGTTTATCTCATGGAACCTTTGACCCAGGAGGTCAAAAGGTCTGGAACTCCTCCCCAGTCTGGAGTCCTGAAGAAGCCTGTGGGACGACAAACCTTGTGGTTGTTTCCTTGAAGTGTTTAAAATGAGACTGTCGGTAGCTGTTTGGGCTGAAACCTGCTGTTTGATGTGTAGTTATTTGGTGCCGGTTCTAATACGATTGTTTTGCAGCTGGACAGATGCAACCTTTCATGTTAGGACAAACATCTTTTGTTATAGGCTACAAAACACACAAACACTTTTTTAAACCGATGGGAACATTTGGGGACAGCGGGGTGGAACTTTATTTATTTTTTATTTTTTAACAGAGGGCCATTGGTTCAAGCACGGTTGCTGCCAAAAGCACCCTTCCCCCCCGATGTCCCTTGTGTAACTGACCCCGCTAAAGAAGATGGGAAGTTAAAGAGAGAATTTTCCGGTTTCTGACTTGTTTTTCCTCTTCTTGCTCTTTTTGTTCGCGGCGATTAGACGACCGCGATGCGCTGAAATCATTCTGAGAATCTCCCCTCGACAAGGACAAGCGAACCAAACAAAGCTCTCTAAGACGTAACAAACTGTTTGCTTCGCGCCAGTTAACAAAATTCTATCGGACATTCATCTTTTACTGTTGACAGATTGGCTCTGATCTGTTTTTCAGTGTTTATTGAGACACTCAGGATAACACATGGTGTGAATGCTTTTCCCAGATTAGATCAAGTTTAATGGTTGCCAGCTAATGTTTCTTATCCCTTATTTAGATCTAATGTTTGTGGTTTTATCTTGAAAGTCTGGGGTTTTTACATGCTCCAGTTCTGAGAAGTTGTGACTCCCAGCAAAGGCAGCAAGGTTTAATTTCATTGACTTTACAAGCTGCTAGTAAAGCGAAGTTCAAGGTTCAAGAGCTACGAGGCCCTGTCAGGAGATGTAACAAGTGTTCATTCAGAAGTGCAAAACAAGAAACCTGTTTAAAGGCTGGACAGGAGCATTTTCACTGGTAAGAGATGGATAAATAACATCTGATTTAATCAAACGCAGTCTAAAATGATTTACCACCTCCTTTTAACTCAATGAAACTCTAATATTATTTTTTAACAAAGGGGGTATTTGCATCCTAATTCAGGTGAAGACTTTATTCAGTGTGTGTATTGCAGACTTTAAGGGAATGACAGTATTCCCTATTTTGGTTCAGGCTAAAAATAATCCCTTTGGTCTGGGTATTGTTTGAAGAAATGACGACACCAGTACCAATCTCGGTACCCTTAAAGTGATACCGATATCATTAGAGGACTTCATTTGATACCCGTCATGAATGGAAGCTAATTTCCGCAACACTGCACAGAGCTAACACCAGGCGGCAACCTCTGCTTCTAAAAAGTGAAGCCAATGCTGAAGTGCCTTAAAGCTGCATTCTCTCTAGTGTCCACCAGGGGGCGACTCCTCTGGTTGTATAGAAGTCTATGAGAAAATGACTCTACTTCTCTCTTGATTTATTACCTCAGTAAACATTGTGAACATGAGTTTATGGTCTCAATCTCTAGTTTCAAGTCTTCTTCAATACAGCATGATGTTCATTTAGTACATTATGGTCCATTTAGAGTCAAACAGACGTCTCATTAAATCAAAGATCGGTTCCATTGATTGGCTGCGAGCATAAACACACAAGTAGTCTACTTTTATTCTTTATTTTGTGCACAAAAAGGAACGATTGCAAGAATCGTTTGACTGGAGAAGTTTTGATACTACTTGGTCGATACCTTAAAGGTATAGAGCACCGATACCGAGCCCTAATTGATCCCTGCATAAAGAAAGGAGTGTGTGGTGGTACAGCGGACTGTGTGCTAGGAGTGAGCTACAGATATAGCTCAGGGAGCTCAGGTGTATCAGAGGTTGTAAAAGTTCAGTTGAGTCCTCAAACATCCAGAAAGTTATGTTGGTATCCTTTTTACTTCTTCGCAGTGTTGACCTGAATTACCTTTTCTCTCTCTGTCAGGACGCGAGGCAGAAATTCCGCTCGGTTCTGGTCGAGGCCACGGTGAAGCTGGACGAACTGGTGAAGAAGATCGGCAAGGCTGTGGAGGAGTCCAAGCCCTACTGGGAGGCCCGCAGGTTGGCCAGACAGGTCGGTGGACAATGCACGGAGGGAGGGGGGGTAGAATCATTCAGAACCGTTTGATCTCAAGAAGGGTCTCTGGGTCCACTCGGTTCTGAGGGACCAGGTCCAAATGATGCCCTGTATACCCGGTCTAATTGGGTCTTTTTCTACTGCTACAGATCTTTGGTCTGTGTGTCAACATGTCTGATGGATCCAAGTGCCCAAGGGTCATTTTCACTGCGGGATAAATACAATATTTTAGGAAATCAGAAGCCTATGTAAGAAACTATATAACCGTTCTTACCGAATAACAAGCAGCTGCTAGTTGATTGAGTCAGGTCTGTAATCTGAACGCTGACAATTAAAAAAAGACAGCGTTTGATCATTTTTCTCATAGGCTTATTTATTTATTTATTTCTCTCATACACCGGCTGCTAATTACATATTTGGAATGTTTAGCTGTGCATGGCCTGGTTGTACGGTCTTATTTATTTAAATAGTTTTACCAGGTAAAAAGTTGAGACTTGATTAATTTTGCATGGTTCGATCTCCACTACTCCTAGATGACATTTGTCCAGCTTCTAGACGACGTGTGTCGAGGAGGAAGGAGAATTTTCATGCGTAAACTTTCAGTCTTGTTGATCATTCAAATGCAGAAATTGGTGACAAGCGTGCAACTTCACAATCATTTCAGACCACAATCTCAGTTCCCCTTTCAGCTTCACCTCTGTGTGTGTGTGTGTGCGTGTGCGTGTGTGAGAGAATAAAGGGCCACCTGCCCGTCTCGATAAGCGCCCACACAGCTGTAGGAGCTCAGTCAGGAAGCACGAGGACGGATTGAGACTCTAAAAGGCTTCATTATGTAGTCGTTGTCCCCCCCCCCAATT